CTGCCAAGAAAGTATCACCTGACTGGGTCATAAGGACACTGTACACAGAGCTGGATGAGGTTCATCCTATAAAGTGCAGGGCTTTTCCTTTACAAAACTGCCAAGGACATGAAGGATATGGAAAACTTAGGCTGAAGAAGTCTAAAAAGATATTAAAACTAAGTATGTATTCCTGGAAAGTTGTACAATATAGTATCTTGTTTGTAAGAGACAGTATTTAAAGGTGATGAGATATCAAGTCTGCAATTCACTCAAAAGGTTTAGGGATTGACAATACCTGTATTTAATATATGTATATGCATACACATGTACATATGCATGTATGTATGGAGACAGATGGCAAACAACAGAAGAAAATATTAATGGGAAAAACCTCAGTGAAGGACACACAGCTGTTATAGCATCTTTTCTCTGAGTTTTAAATTATTTCAAAATGAGCTGGGCGTGGTGGTGCACACCTGTAATCCCAGCACTTGGGAGGCTGAGGCAGGAGGATCACTGTGAGTTTGAGACCAGCCTGGGCTACACAGTGAGTTCTAGGTCAGTCTCAACTACATAGTGAGACCCTGTCTCAAAATCCCCCCCAAAAAAAATTCAAAATGACTTTTTTAAAATCTAAAATAAAGATGTGATATGGAATATGTAGTGCTAGAGTAAGTGTGAATCAGCTGCTGCCTTAGGCCAAGATACAGAATGAAAAACACAGCCTTAATATGTTTTTTACATGTGTCCCTTTACCATACTCTGAGTAAATGTATTTACAATGGTTTGATGCCTGTTTGGACAACTAAGCACATATCAATGTTTAATGAACTTTTTCTTCACGGATTTTAAATGTGCATTTATAGCTCTATGAGGAAAGGAATCAACTTGTTCATCTTTGTAGTCCCAGAACCTAATATATGTATAATTAGTCACTGTTATCTCCTTCGATAAGAACTCTACCCTGTCATTTTTACAATCAAAAATAAAGTGATGAGTAATATCAAGGATTTTGCTCTACCAAAAGGGAAGATCTATGTCAAGCTAAAATACGTATGTCTAAATAAGAATAGAAAAAAGATAAACTATTACATTTCTTAGGAAATTTATAAGTATACTTGTTGGCTCTATAGTCCTAAAAACAAAAGAGTATGTAAGTAATAGTAAAACGTATTGGTCTAAAAAGTGGCAAACTGTTAACAGTTTTGGTTAAAAAATAGAATAAAATGTTTAGAATAAATATAAAATTTTGGAGAGAAGAGCTGACCGTGGAAAACTATGTTAAAAAAAGTGAAAGGTGTGGAAAAATTATTAGGCTGAACTGTATCAAATTAAATTGTCAGGTCACTTCTAATAACAGATTTAAAAAAATTTAACAGTACTATAAGCCAGAATGGTTTTTAAATGGTGGTAAAATACTTCTTAGGAGTGCTCTAAAAAAATGAAATAATGTATAAAAACATTTAGCATGATTGGCATGAATTAATCACTCAATAAATGGCATTTATTTGTTTTTATAGAAAGGATGCAAAACAACATTGTAATAAAGTCAAGTGTCTTAAAAATCTATTAGAGATGTCTTAAGCCAATGGACAGAATAATACTCAAATATCTACACTGGTAAATTCAATGAGAAACAGAATTTTGACACATTTAGTCCTGTAGATCCAAAATATAAAACAGAGCCTCATACACACAGTAGATGTTCAACAAAGGTTTATTGAAATGAAGTGTGAATAAAAATAAGTTATTTGGAACAGAAGAAGATGAGAAAGAAGCAGTCTGAGACTGAAGACTAAACTGAGAGTCCAAAAATTACTGTTCCCTAAGGAAGTCACATTGAGAAAGAGAAAAAAAATACTTCAGCATTTTTAGGACAAAGCACAAAAACTCCCCTCAGGCTGATCCCTAATAATGACTGAAACCACTTTCAAATTCTTTTTGGCAAGTATGTCATATGTAAAGTGTAATATTCGAAAGAAATATTTTACAATTTAACTTAAATGAATGTTGTATACATCTTTGGGGGGGAGGTTAACCCGAAGTATTTAGGAATTTTTTCTACTTTCCATTCACGGGAAAACCAGGTAAACAATTCAGCTTTTCCATCTACTATACGTAAATACATAAAAGTTAGCTTGAACTTTCACCTACAAGTTGTAAATATACACATTTCATTTTCACAAGTGTGAGATATACCCATACTAGGAAAAGAAAAAATACCAACTCTTAGAAGTGGGCAGTGCTACAGAAGTATAAAACTTACCTTGCTGTCCCAGCAGCTACCTGTTATGGCCTTGTTTATGACACAATTCTCTTGTATTATAAACTCAAAAACTCTCAGAGCCATAGGTGAGGGAACAAGTGAATATGAAAATATTACCCTGTTTCTCATTCTACCTTGAAGGTAAGAAGAATTAATGAATTAAAAAAAAATTCTCCAAGTTACTGCCATCACCTCACTAGTACACCCTATTCTTACTTGGAAACTGATAAATTTTACATACACAAAAGCCACACCCTTAATAATACACTCAACTCTGTCCAGTGCATGGCTTCTGTGCCAAGTAAAGTACATTTCAAGAGAGACAGATGAAGCTACATCTGCCCAACCTACTTCAAACTAAAGTCTGTGAAGGGTAAGATACAAATGAAGTAAAAAGTAAAAAATTAACTGCTGAAAGAAGGGGGTGGGGGACATGACATCTAATTCAACAAAATAACAATGTTTTTCTAGAAAACCAAATCACAGAAGCTACTAGACTACATTATGGAGCAGTTCACAGAACATTAACAATGAATCTGCAGTGCACAGAGTAATATGATTCTTAAATTATCATTTGCTTTCTATGATGCCTTGATAGTAAGTGAATGGAATCACATGAGAGGTATTGCCCAATTACTGATGGCATTAAAATTATACTTTAATTTCTGGAAAGTTCTGCAATAACAGCTTAGAGAGTAAACAGAATTTTAATGAGAAAAAATCTAGTAAAAAATCTGAAAATATACATTAAAGATATTTGGTTAATTTTTTTAAACTAAAAAGCAAGAAGGTCAGGCACCAAGTTGTGTAACATCTGTGGCTGACACCAGTTATTAAGAGTTTTCGGTGAAATGAATGATGTACTATAAAACAGTATGACACGATCTTTACATATATCTTTAATGTTAAGAATCTTTTAAACCACTATACGTCTGTCTATTTTGCATTCAAGGTTTTTCATAACAGACACATACATTCACATTTGTAAATGAAGAGTAAATCAGAACAATAAAAATGATCCAAAGGTATCCAAAACACACTATTTGAAACATCAGACTTGTTCCGACATTCGTTTTTTCAGATTCCCTAGTAAAGATCTTCTGTAATGGATCTTCATGTCAAGAAGATTGTTCATACGCTACTCCGGGTGAAGAGAGCTTAGGAGACTAATTTTGAAAACCTCCAGGAAATGGTTAATTACAGCTCTATCTTCAATTTCCTTCAACTCAAACAACAACGTAGAGAAAACAGTTCATACACATTGGAAGGAGAATAAGGGGAGAGTCCCCATTGTTTTGTTTTGGTGGCAGAAGCAAAAACAGGTTCACTGGAGCATCCCCACCTATTCCCACCCATCGCAACCCGGCAGAGCACTTTCGCCCTTCGGCTCGCTCAAGACTGGTCCCGGACAGTGGGAGAAGCCGCCCTCTCCCCAACCAAAAGACCAGGCAGGGGGGCAGGCAGGCAAAGAGGGAAGGCACAAACCCTCTAAGGACAGAGGGGCCAGGCGGTGCATCCCGATGGGGAGGATGCGACACGCCACGGAAAAGGGAGGCTGGCAAATTCGCCGGGAGAAACCCCACGGGGCAGCCGGAGGATGCTGCCTGTCTGGGCGAGGACAGACGGACAGCGCTCCTGAAGGAGCGAGAGGCGCAAGCTCCAGAAGACCGGGAGGGTGTGGGATAAGGCAGCTCGGAACTCGAGCCCAGAGCGGGCTGAGAGAGCCTCACACAGAACCGGCCGCGAAGCTGACTTACGGTTACTTCTCGGGCTGAGGGGAAGGGTCGGGTGGACCCTGCAGATCCGCAGTTGTGCCTCCGCCGCGGACAGCGCTCCTGAAGGAGCGAGAGGCGCAAGCTCCAGAAGACCGGGAGGGTGTGGGATAAGGCAGCTCGGAACTCGAGCCCAGAGCGGGCTGAGAGAGCCTCACACAGAACCGGCCGCGAAGCTGACTTACGGTTACTTCTCGGGCTGAGGGGAAGGGTCGGGTGGACCCTGCAGATCCGCAGTTGTGCCTCCGCCGCG